TTTAGGTTTAATATGTCCGCTGAGCCGTTTGTGAAGGTTGAAGATTCGAACGATTCTTTCAAAAAAGATGATGTTATTATTAGCACTAGCGAACGGTATGTTTTTTAAGCTCTTTCTTTCTCTCTCTGAATTTCCTACTAAGTGCATTTTAGGACCTCAGCAAAAAAAGCTTTCCAAGAACGAAAATCAAAGCCAGCTAATTCCACAATAAAATGCTATTCTCGCAAGGACTTAATAGCAATACAAAATAGTGTGCCAAAGGAGGTTAGTTTTGCTCCCTATTCTCGCTTTGGAAAGAAAGAAAAGTTGTTGAAAAGAAAAGCACTTTATGAATTCTCTTCTCTGCAGTGGGCTTATTTTAGGCATGGATTCCGTACGTGAGAGCCCAATGGGACACAGATGAAGAGCCGTTTCAATTGAACCAGTATTTGCGCTGCTCTTTCGAAGAGCAACTGCGGCGAAAACGTGAGATAGAACGGAAGCAGCGTAACGAGGTTTGGCATGTGAAACCTTTTCTGACCGTAAATTTGAAGGGAGTTGCCTTTTCATCGATTTGTCTTGGTTATAGGTAATGAAGAGTCGTCAGAAGACGCAGATGGAAAAGCCGAAATTACGAGCGTTTTCGCGAACAGGATCCTCTACTCCTGTGGAAGAGGATTCCTTTGAAATGTTTTGTTCTCGGATAAGCAACCACTTTACTCAATTGAAATCAACGAAGGATGCTAATATTCTGCGTATTGGATCGGTAGTGAGTATCAGAATGTTTATGACCATGAGCTCATCTTGCTCAAAGTAGGGTTAAGTGAACTACGTAAAGTGGCCATTTCTATCGCGCAGTCAAGGATTTGTCTCGTTTTAAACGGAAAACAGTGAGAAGTTTCAGTGTGCATCCCAACAAACTTTGCAGAAGAGAGGGTGTACGAAAAAATGTGACCACCAAATTTTCGCTTGAAGGCAGTGAAAGTTTTTTTTTTCGCAAAATTATCTAATTGCGTAAAGAGACATCGGTAGTTGAAGATTATGAAAGATACCTTACTGCAGGACAGCAATTTTGAATAAAAGTCAAACTGACTTTTTTTGTAATGTGAGTGTTTATTCACGATTGTGCATTGCAAACTAAATGGATCTCTGCTTATGAGTGAGCATTGCCACGAGCAAAACAGAAACGTCAGCTTTTTGCACACTCCAGACTA